CACTCTCTAGCAGATGGCAGGAGAAGGAAGAACCTGATCTCCAAACTGGTAGTAGATGGAGTTGAGCTAGTACATCAAGAGGAGATTGTTGGGGCATGTGTGGAGCACTTCAAATCTATTCTAAGAAGGCCTGTGTGTAGAAGGGTGTGGGTAGAAGGATTGGATTGGCCAGATGTAGGGGTGGACAAGAGAAGTTTGGAGAGAAGCTTTAGTTTAGAAGAGACCAAGGAGACTGTATTCTCTATGGATAGAACAAAAGCCCCAGGGCCGGATGGGTTCACAATGGCTTTTTATCAGGACTATTGGGATATTATGAAAGATGATCTTTTGCGGGTGTTTGAGGAGTTTTTCACGAAAGGAATTGTCAATCCGGGTGTGAACTCTACATTTATAGCCTTAATTCCAAAAAAGAAAATATGCTTCCCACCCGAAGGATTTTAGGCCAATTAGCTTGGTTAATAGCTTGTATAAGATCATTGCAAAAGTGTTGTCTTTGAGGCTGAAGAAGGTTTTGCCAGATATCATTGCACACTACCAAGGAGCTTTTGTGAATGGAAGACAAATTACTTATCAGATTTTAATTGCTAATGAGAGTGTGGAGAACTTTAAGAGGGATAAGAAGGGAGTGGTCTATAAGTTGGACTTGGAAAAGGCTTATGACTTGATGGACTAGGAATTTTTTAGGAAAGTTTTGACTAAATTTGGGTTCGGGGATAGGTGGTGTAAGTGGATTATGGGTTGTGTCCGGAATTGTCATTACTCAGTGCTAGTGAATGGGACAGTGGTAGATTTCTTTCCAATCAGTAGGGGTATAAGACAAAGAGACCCCCTTTCTCCTTTCTTGTTCATTCTAATTGTGGAGGTTTTGGGGAAACTGATTAACAAAGCAGATTCTAGGGGGCTTATTAGAGGCTGGAGAGTTGGGAGGGTGGAAACCCCCCTTACTCACTTGCAGTTTGTTGACGACACGATTCTGTTTTGTGAAGGCGGTAAAGTGAGCTTTATCAGGAACTTGAAGTCGATGATACAACTATTTGAGCAAATATCCAACTTGAAGGTTAACCTTGGGAAAAGTTGTGTTGTGGGGGTGAATTTGGAGGAGGGAGAGATCAGGGAGAGTGCTGAAGTGCTGGGGTGTGAAGTCTCAGAGTGGCCTTTGAACTACTTAGGGTTGCCTTTAGGTGATAATCCTATGAGAGAGAGCTTTTGGAACCCGGTGGTGGAAAGGTTTGAAAAAAGTCTGGTGTCATGGAAAAAGAACTACCTCTCTCTTGGTGGGAGAATTACTCTTATTAAGGCCAAGCTTGCTAATTTACCTATCTTTTTCCTGTCGATGTTTAAAATCCCAGTGAAGGTTGCTAATAGATTGGAGAAGTTAATGAGAAATTTCCTGTGGGAACCGGAAGAGGAAAAGAGGGATCAGAGTTAGCTGGGAGATAGTTTGTAGGAGTAAGACATGTGGTGGTTTCGGGCTAAAGAATATTATGAGAAGGAATATGACTTTGTTGGGAAAGTGGTTGTGGAGATTCCCCTTGGAGAAGGAGAAGCTATGGGCTAGAATAGTGGCAAGTATTCATGGGCTGGAGCATAATGGATGGGACGTTGGAATCAGAGCTAGGACCACAAGCAATTCTCCTTGGAAAGCCATTCATGACCTGCTACCAGTTTTCTCCCCTAATATCAGGTATGATTTGAATTCCGGTAACTCCATAAACTTCTGGGAACAAACCTGGGTGGGAAGTGACCCTCTAAAGGATCAGTTTCCTTCTTTGTTTGCTCTTTCTGATCTGAAAAATGAGCCAATCTCGTCTTCTACCACCCCGTCCTCTTCCACTTCGGGGATTGGGTGGAACTTGGGTCTAAGAAGGGATTTGAGGGACTCAAACTTTGACAATATTTTGAGCCTTATTGCAATTCTTGATAACATGTCTTAGACCCCACTAGGGCAGATTCTAGAATTTGGACACCTTCTCCCAAYGGCATTTTTTCTTGTGCTTCTTTCTTCAAAGACTTAAGTCAGTCCACCAGTCCTACCTTCCCTCCTTTTCCTGTTGATGAGGTTTGGTGCAAAGCAATACCTCCTAGGGTTGGTAGTTTTTGTTGGGAAGCCTATCTGGAAAGAATCAACACTGGTGATCTACTCCAAAAGAAGAGACCCAATACTTGTTTGTCACCTCAGTGGTGTGTTCTTTGTAAAGCGAATGGGGAGACTAGTTTTCACCTACTGGTGTCTTGCCATTTTGCGAGGTCAATTTGGGAATGGGCTTTGTCCCTATTTGGATGTAGCTGGAATACCCCATCAGACTTGCAAGGACTTTTTCCCCTTCTTTTTTCAGGTGGCGGATGAAAAGGGGAAGGACAATGTGGAGAGGACTAAGGGCTGAAGTATGTTGGACACTTTGGGAAGAAAGAAACTCCAGGATATTCTCAAAAGCTCAAAGAGGAGCAGCAGATCTGAGGGCTATCATTCATATTAAGGCGGTACAGTGGCTGAAATCTTTGGAGCTTTTCACAGATTACACTGTGGATGACATGTTGAGGAAGTGGGGTGAAATTGCAA